TGCGGCCATTTGAGGAGTGAATGAGCAAATGGAAGATCTCACTTTTTCTCTCACTGTCTCTCCCTCTCTCACTATAACTCTGTAAAATTTTATTTAGTTATTTGAAAGGCAATCAATCAATAAAATTACTCTGCCTAATCCCAAGGGTCATTCCACACTTTAAAGTTGCCAACCTCAATCAGAGTAAGTAAAATGTCTTTGGGCTAATCCAGGTAGGAAATGGATTAATAATAAACTTTAATAAACTTCCAAAATGCAAACCTCTGGTTATTCCTTGGGCACAGCAGTTATGCTGTTGGTTGCAATACCCACATCCCACATCAGAATGCCTGGGTTCCAGTCTAGAACCCATTCCCACTTCCAGCTTCCTGCTAATGCACACCCTGGAAGACAGCAATAATGGCTCAAGAACTTGGGTCCCTGCCACCCATAACCATATGGATTAAGTTTCTGGCTCCCAGTTCTGGCCCAGCCCTGACATTTGAGGAGTGAACCAGTGGATAGATTTCTCTTTCTCTCTTTATCTCATTCTCTTATTCTCTCTTTCTCTCTCTTTCAAGTAAACAAATTAAAAAAAATTTTTAATGCAAACCTAAAGCACATTGGCTTCAGAGAGAGGACTAACTGGAAGACACCCAAACTGTTAAAATGATCGATCACAAAGATCATAGAAATCTTCCAGACATAAACTATTTTGAGCTGCAAATATTCTATGTTTGCAAATCCCATGAGAAAGAGAAAGATGTGAACAATGGTACATTGCCAAGAGGCACCCAAAACCAAATGATGACAAATATTAAATGGGAAGGAGGAGACTGACCTGCTCCTTTGTAACCACTGTCCCTGTCCAACACTTGTGCTGTAAAAAGACAAAGAGCTGGGACTGTAAAGTCCAACTGTATAACGCTGGGCAAGTCTTCCTCTTCTCTGTGCCCTTCTGAAAAGGGTGGAATCTCCCATACCTAATGGGTTTGTTGTTTTTATTGTTTATTTCAGAGGCAGAGAGAGCTACAGGAAGAGAGAGTTCCCATCTGCTGGTTTGCTCCGGAGATGCCCAGGAAATGGAAACTCAATCCAGATCTCTCACATCAGAGATGGGGATTCAATTACTTGAACCATCACTGTTGCCTCCTAGGAAACTGGAATTGGAACAAGAGACATGACTCAAGCTCACATACTCCAGTATGAGATGTATGTTGGGATGCCCACAGTCTAACTACTCGGACACTTACCCTCGGTTTTTCTATTTTGTTTTGTTTTTCCTTCAAAGACAGCAAGTTCTCAAACTGATGGCCTGGTTTTTGTCTTTTTGGTTACCTACCTCTGGCATTCAACTTCCCCTGCCTTCCTTATTCCAAAGGGTTTCTAGGCTATGCTTAAAAGGCAAACTTTTTTTTTTTTATAAAAAACAGTACAAGCAAATTCTTTTGTTTTGTTCAATAAAATCAAAAACCTTGATTTATGTGGGTAGGAGAGTAGTCCATAGAAACACTTTCCAGGGCCAGCATTGTAGTTCAGTGGGCTAAGCCTCTACTTGTGATGCCAGCATCCCATATCATAGTGTTGGTTCTACTCCCATGAGTTCCACTTCCCATCCAGCTCCTTGCTAAAGCACCAGGAAAGGTGGTAGAAGATGGTCCAAGTGCTTGAGCCCCAGTCACCTAAGTGGGAGACTCAGATGGAGTTTCTGGGCCCTTGCCCAGACCTGGCTGTTGTGGCCATGTGGGGAGAAAAGAGCAGATGGAGATCTCTGTCTCTCCCCTTCTCTGTCACTCCACCCATCAAATACATACATGCATACATAAATCTTATAAAAAAGTCCTTTCTCAACTAATAACCTGTGGGAAAACTTAGCTTTAATACTCATTTTATATACACCAAATACCCATCAAGGAACTAAGAGATTGATGTAGGCAGGCATATAGGATAAAATTAACTAGGCTTGTGAGCTGGAAGGCCACGCCTTCACCATGCCCTCTGTGTGAGCTCATGCCCCTTCCTAACCACTCCTGTGCATTTACCTGCCAATCAGACTAATTAACCACTCCCCTTTCGAAGTGGATTAAAGGCCTGAAACACGGTGGGCATGGCCCCCTTGGCCCTTTTTCCCCATTATGGACCTTTGTTGCCCGTGCCTTCAGGGCTTCCTGCCCTGCATGCTCCTCCACACGGCTGGCTCCTGGTGCTCGGTATGAATCCAGATTCCCCTCTCTTTTAGATAGGGCCCTCACTCTCCTATGCACTTCTCTCACTGAATAAAAAGCTTAAAAACTTATCATGCTGCCTGGTTTCTTTGTGCCAGTATTCAGAATTTTTCTCTGAATTTGTGGCTAGAACCTGCACAGCTTATTAATATTTCAGATCATTAATAAGCAAATCAGTAACAAGATCATTTCTTACTTAACAAGTATTCCCATGACAAGGTATGGGAAACACAACCTTAGCACACTTCTTGCAACTTGAGTTTCTGAAATACGGGGTTAGTGATGACATGCACTTCCCGAAACAGTAACAAAACACACTCTGAAAATCACTTGTCCTCTGTGAAACAGACAAACAGAAGTGGCTTCTGAAAATTGAAATGCAACTCATGTAAGAAAAAATAAAATTACCAGGGGTAGCAAGGAAAAAGTTGTATTTCCATTGTGCATAAACCACCATGCAATGCCAGGTTGCCTAAGCTCACTGTGAAAAGGAAGAATATGATGCATTTTAAGAGATTCAACCCTGGGGCCAGTGCTGTGGCGCAGCGGGTTAAAGCCGCCACCAGCAGTGCTGGCATCCCATATGGGCACAGGTTCTAGTCCCAGCTGCTCCACTTCCAACCCAGCTCTCTGCTATGGCCTGGGATAGCAGAAGATGGCCCAGGTCCTCGGACCCCTAGACCCATGTGGGAGACCAGGAAGAAGCTCCTGATCCTGGCTTCAGATCAGCACAGCTCCAGCCATTGAGGCCATCTATGGAGTGAACCAGCGGATGGAAGACCTCTCTGTCTCTACCGCTCTCTGTAACTCTTTCAAATAAATAAAATAAATCTTTAAAAAGAGAGAGAGAGAGAGAGAGAGAGAGAGAGATTCATCCTCACTAGTCCAAGAAAGAAACTCCACACATCAGAACTAGGGCACACAAGTACATTCACATTTGCCAACCCAGACACAGAAACTAGGTCTTCACAGAGTTTTAAGAATAGAAGCTTGTACTTTTCAATTTTGTCAATAACCTAAAGTAAACCAGGAATGTGAACATATAAATGTGCCTACAGAAAAAAAAAAAAAAAAAACTAGCAAACATCTTTTATCCCAGCTTTTATTCAACCACACTGAAACCACTCACCACTCATTTATAGCAAATTCAAGTCAAGTCGTCTCTCCCTTCTCTACCCCGTGAATGTAAACTCTAACCAGAACTTCACCCTTAATGGGCTGCAAATGTCTTTCTTACAGGTGTGTTCTTCCCAACAAGCACAAAAACCTTAAAATATGCATCACTTCCTCTCATCATTATGATACAAAGCATTCTTAATCAAAAAATCAAATAGGAAGTTTGAGAAACATTTAAAGAAACTGTGGAATTTTATGAGTGACTACATATACACATATATAAGTAAATATTTACATATAAATTGACAATAATCATTATATGAACTTCGGAGACTATCAGAATATCTGAAACAAGGGGCCATATCAACCTCAGCCTCCTTACATTTAGTTTTTAAAAATTCCCTCAGCCTTCCTTAGTCTTCTGAGAGAGCTTTCTTTTCAAAAGCTAATACGTAGGGATTCATCTTAAGAGTCTGGAGACCATTTAGATTCTGACTTTTTTCTTATTATCTGGAAAGCTGATAACTATTAGGAGAAAACAAGACGAAAGCCCCTCCAAAGCCACGAAGCATTAGAAGAAAACAGTCCCCATCTAGCCAGGCGGTGGCTGTGCCCGTACAAACCAACTTTAGATAAGCGGATTTAACAAGTTCATTTCTTCTGTAGAAGCTGGTCCTATAGAGGAAATACGAGCTTATCAGTGGGGCAAAGGTGGCTCCTGCAGAGCCAGACTTCTGTTCAGTCCCCACCACGCGAGGCTCTTTCAGATATTCAGCAACCACCTGCTCACCCACAGGCAGGATGAACATGCAAGCGAACAATGTAACTGCACATGTAGGGCTCCTTTACATATAATCTATTTCTGATTAAATACCTGACTCAATCCACTAAGCTGTCTGAGTCAAACACTGACTGCAGATCTAGACTCATAACTTGCAAAAACAGATACAGCATATTCTTGAATGAAAAATCAATGCACTGTCAATCAATAAACAGTAAGCACACTATCTTAGTATTTTCTAGTGTGTGTACACAAGCATAGAAAATTTTTAAAACATCTGTACCAAAGATGTGAACTATTTCTCTGCATAATGCTATTCCTCTGCATAATGCTATTTCTACTTCTAGATTCTTCTACAAAGAGAAAAAACAAAAACAAAAATAAATAAAATCTACTCTCCCAGACTCTATTAAGTCCCATCTTTTTTGGGCTTTTTTTGTTTGTCTGTCTGTTTATTATTAGACATCTCACCAGGGACTCAAACAGTACCATTTCTTTATAACTTTGAAATGCTAGTGAGTGTCACTGTGTACACTAAAGCAATATTTGCTTAAACACCTTATATCTTTAATCCATGCTCCCTTTCAGAAATGAATGTTGAAAATTCTTTGAAATCAGTATGACACAGAGCATATCTAGAGCAGTTTTCAAAAAAAAAAAAGTGGCAGGGGAAAGGGGGGTGGGTACTAAAATGAACAAATGAAAATATTTTCTGTAAAAAATACTAAAAAATCTGCATTTCTTAGGAAAGTATAGATGAATTTTTTAAAAAAATGAAACAAACAAACAAAACTTCTGGAGGAGTACTTTCATACAGCTCAACTACTTGCAAGCCACAGTTTCATCTACGTCAACATGCAACCTTTTAAAACCACACAAAAAGGAAAGGAAATTTTTAGTATAGCCAGCAACTCTGCAATGGGCCTGCTACTGCTCCTGCTGCGGCTAACCAAACAGCTCATGCCTTTCTGAAGACAGCGAGCTAGGCCAGCTGAGGCTCTGTGAAGATACCCCCAGGTATGTCTTTTTAAATACTTTATATATTCAAATGCTTTCCCATGGATGGCAGATTTATGATTTTTAGTGTTTAAGCCATGTAAGTTAAAAAAAAAAAAAAGCCAACAGGTAACTAAGTTGCTGTGTAAGAGGGCACCATTTATGAATCTCTAAATAGATCCTAGTTGTAAGCTACACTGTAATTTTCTTCACTGATTCCACCCATCTGTCACAAAAAGACAGCTTAACTCAACCAGACTCAATAACTAGGGCAGTATAATTACTCACTAACTAAACTCTGTAACGGAATGGCTCAAGGCCATGTTAGTCTCACAATGCAGAACAGGTCACAAAATGATGTTCCTCTACACACATTACAACAGTAATTCCAAGAAAATTCCACTGCAAATCTTTAGAAAATATAATGAGTTCGATGATTTTCTGAGCAAAAGGCTCTCTACTGGAACTAAAAAGACACTTGAAAATGTTTCTTCTTTTGCTGGAGTATCGCTAAGCACCTCAAATTCCACTTGCCAACAATTGGCTCAAAAAATATTTCGTAAGTACTTAATTCTCACATTTGTGCTACAGGATACACAATGCTACAGTATAATTTAACTTCTAGTCAACATAACCAAACATTTCAAATACATGTTTTCATTGCAATCTACACAGAAGTTCATTGCTACAGAGAATATTTATCAAATAAATTTTTATTAATTTTTTTTAATGATGAATTATTTGAGAGACAGAGAGAGAGCTCTCATTTGCTGATTCACCCTCACTCCCCTCGCCACCAATGCCCATAACCATCCCCGTCCACAGAAAAGAACCTGGAACTCAAATCAGGTATCCCACATGGGTGCCAGGAATCCAATTATTTAGCATCACTGCTGTCTCCAAGGGTCTGCATTAGCAGGCATCTGGAGCCAGGTGCCAGAGACTGATACTGAACCCAAGTACTCCCATGTGAGACAACAGCATCTTAACTAATGCCTTCGCCACAAGGCAAATGTCTGCTGCACAAATTATTCTTTCAACTTTCTCTTTACCAAATAAGCCACATTCATAAAATAAGACTTTCTTATAGTGTTAGCAATAAGGGATCTATAAGAACATATTATTATGTAACATCTGGAATAAGAGTATTAGCCCAAATCCCAGCACCTTATATTAAGCAGGCAGGATATGTGATCAATGTACAAATGGTTTGCTGGAGAGGAAGGGTGTTTTTATTTATTTGAAAAACAGAAAGACAGTGACAAACAGAGAGATTCCATCTACTGGTTCACTCCACACATGCCCACCACAGAAAGAGCTGGGCCAGGCCGAAGCCAGGAGCCTGGAACTCACCCTGGGTCTCACTTGTGGATTGCAGGGGTCCAAGCATTTGAGTACCACCTGCTGTCTCCTAGGGTGTCCACAGCAGGAATCTGGAAGCGTGAGCACAGCCGGGACTAGAACTCAGGCACTCTAATATGGGACGCAGCTGTCCCAGGCAGCATCCTGACCCTGTGCCAAACACCTGTTGCTACACTAGTTTTTAACAGAGAATAAAAGTGTGCTGAGAACCGTAATAGTAACTATCACAAATCAAGGTCATAAGGAACTCGGGGGATCCTGGAGCAGCTCTCAGAGGTGAAGAGCTACCTTCAGGCCCACAGAGATACCAAGAGTGAGGCACAGGAAAGGACGTGGTAGAGAGCCTAGGACACAAGCATCAAGGGCAGACCCTAGTCCTGCTCCAACAAGCTGAGCAACCCGAGCAACACCCAGGTGCCAGACCTCAGTCTCCTCCAACTGGGAGCTGTGCTCGAGGCCATCAATAAAGGTTCTGTTCATCCTCTAAGTCCTGGGGTTCCAAAATTGCATCCCATGCAAGTGCACAAGGCAGGAAGGACGTGCTTACAGCACAGCTGAGAGCCCACCTACCTGTCTAAAGCAGAGAGTAAAGATTCAGAGTCTATGGGGAAGACAGTGAGAAATGTGTGGAAATGTAGAAAATACAACCAGCTTATACTTACAGGACAGGATCTAGGTCTAGTTTTTAAGTGTGTGTGAGTGTGTGTGTGTATGTATTAAAATAAAACATCAAAGTACATGAAGACTAAATTTCTTTTAATAGTATCTGGTGGAAGGAAATATTTTACTTCAGCTCATTTACAAGGAAATTGATCAGAACATAATTCTTGCGACACAGTAAATCCTGCCTCTAATCCATACCAGCCCTATAAGCTTGGGTACTTCACTTTTTTTTTTTTTTTTAAACAGGCAGAGTGGACAGTGAGAGAGAGAGAGAGACAAAGAGAAAGGTCTTCCTTTGCCATTGGTTCACCCTCCAACGGCCGCTGCGGCCGGCGCACCGCGCTGATCCGAAGGCAGGAGCCAGGTGCTTCTCCTGGTCTCCCATGGTGTGCAGGGCCCAAGGACTTGGGCCATCCTCCACTGCACTCCCAGGCCACAGCAGAGAGCTGACCTGGAAGAGGGGCAACCGGGACAGAATCCGGTGCCCCGACCGGGACTAGAACCCGGTGTGCCGGCACCGCAAGGCGGAGGATTAGCCTAGTGAGCCGCGGCACCAGCTGCACTTCACTTGTTATGCCTCAGTTTTCTCATGTGTAAAACAACGGTGATAACAACATCATTCTCAATGAAATGATGAAAGGTGAATTAAGTTCATGGCAAGTACTTAGCACAGCACAAAAAGGAAGTGTTCAATTATTGTGGGTTTGGTACACAACAAGATTATTCATGGACCCTGAAGTCCTAACTCAGATAGGGAAAGGGAAGGACATGTACCCTTTAAGTGACACATTAACTTAAAATGTTTTATACACATTATATTCATCTGGTTCCATATTCTGTTGTATTCCAAGATGTACGTAATGGTTCATTAAACAACTGGAAGAATTAAGGCTTAAAAGGTTTAACAGTTGTTTTGCTTTGCTTTTTAAGGAAGATTTAAAAGAATGGCTGATTTGGCCCTTGAGGTCAACCATCTTCTATATCAGCCATTATACATACTAACTGCTATTTTTAAAGAGGTTATATGTCAGGCTTTTTCTGCCAAAATAAAAACATAGGCTTCTGGTCTTTAAAACCAAAGAAATTTGTTTAATATTCAAAAAGAGGGCTCATATCAAAAGGCAGCACCAGAAATAAGTATTTTATTAATTTTGGTAATATTGATATAAAACAGAATTTTTTATATTTCATACTAAATACTTCAGAACTCAGTATTTACTTTGTATTTGCAGCACACGTCAGTTGGACTGCCCACTTTTCAGTTTTCAACAGCCACAGGTGGCTGGGGATTATGATATTGTAGCCACCATACTATTACAAAATGGGAGCAAAGAAAGGGCGGGGAATAAACAACAATTCAAAGTCAGATTCTAATCCTGGGACTATTTCTACTCATGAAGTAAAATTTTGATTCTTAAAATGCTGTTAACAGGCTACACGACGAAAGCCTACTTTTTAAATTTCACAGCAATTTTCTGTCATTCTCCTAATTCCTCATCAGCCCAAGTTGTTCTAGCTTGAGGAACTATGTGAATCTATATAAAAATAAAAAAGATAGAAAGAAAAAAACAAAAAGCTTCATTGAAAGCAGTTCTGCCTGCCTCAACCACAGACATGGTTTCCTCTCTCCACTTCTCAGAATCTCAACTCACTTATCTTCCCTGCAAACTAACTTTCAGCCCAACTGTTAACAAAAGGGCTACCAGAACGCAAAAGCACCAGGTCAAAAATATCCCTCTCAAAAACACAACTACAAAATATTTCCTGAAAGCCTCAAAAACCAGACAACGGAAACCCTGGGTTTCCTAGAATCTAGGATTTTCCTAGCAGGCCACAGTCTGATAAATTCACCAATAAAAGTCTACCCAAGAACTAGAAAGACAACTGGTACTGTGAATGCAAATGTTTTTAGAGACAAGTTTCTGATTTTAATTACTAAGATCCACTCCCTTTTTTTTATTCCCCAGATTCTTCGGACTTTTTAATTGACAGTCATCCTTGGGATCCCTCATGATGACCAACAGTTCATTCTTCTGCCCAGTTTACAAAGATCTGGAGCCATTCACATATTTTTTTTATTTAGTTTTCCTTATCGGGATTATTGGAAGTTGCTTTGCAGCCTGGGCTTTCATACAGAAGAACACACATCACAGGTGTGTGAGCATATACTTAATTAACTTGCTTACGGCCGATTTCCTACTCATTCTGTCACTGCCAGTGAAAATTGTTGTCGACTTGGGTGTGGCCCCCTGGAAGCTGAAGATATTCCACTGCCAGGTGACAGCCTGCCTCATCTACATCAATATGTACTTGTCCATCATATTCCTGGCATTCGTCAGCATGGATCGCTGCCTTCAGTTGGTACACAGCTGTAAGATCTACCGAATACAAGAACCTGGATTTGCCAAAATGTTATCAGCAGTGGTGTGGCTTATGGTCCTTCTTATTATGGTGCCAAACATGTTGATTCCCATCAAAGACATCAAGGAGAAGTCACAGGTGGGTTGTATGGAATTCAAAAAGGAGTTTGGAAGAAACTGGCATTTGTTAACCAACTTCCTATGTGTAGCAATATTTTTAAATTTCTCAGCCATCATTTTAATATCTAACTGCCTTGTAGTTCGACAACTCTACAGAAACAAAGACAATGAAAATTATCCGCATGTGAGAAGAGCCCTCATCAACATACTCCTGGTGACTACAGCGTACATCATATGCTTTGTTCCTTATCACATTGTCCGAATCCCATACACCCTCAGCCAGACAGAATTCATATCAGACTGTTCAACCAGGATCTCACTCTTCAAAGCCAAGGAGGCCACACTACTGCTAGCTGTGTCAAACCTGTGTTTTGACCCTATCTTGTACTATCATCTCTCAAAAGCATTCCGCTTAAAAGTCACTGAGACTTTTGCCTCCCTGAAGGAACCCAAGACTCTCAAAGACAAATCAGGGTGCGCTAATGAAGCATAAGCGAAAGGATCTCTCAGGCTGCCACTTCCTACCTTTAGGGACCATAAAGTTACATTTTGAAAGAAAAAAATGCACCTCAATAGTAAAATGCAGACTGCTAGCAAATGTGGACTGACTTGTAAAGGCAACCTTGTTCTTCTTATGGTGGTTGATACAGCTTAACCCTGATATTGCTACAAAAACCTCAAGTCTCATAGAATCAATGGCAAAGTCTGTGACAATCTTAAAACACAAAATAAGTCCATGATGCAGACTCAGATATTCATTGAAATGTCTAGAAATGATGTCTTGATTGAAAAATAAAATAATCTCCATGTCCTTAAGCAACACAATTTTAAAAGCCTTTAGATCACTTAAGAACAAAAAAAGCAGGATGCATGAAACTACTTATGCCTAATCTATTTTTAATCCATCATCCAAAAAATTGTAACCTTCACCTTAATACTACAATTTTTAATACCTAATTTTTTTCTAACACAATAAACTAAAAAATGTTTATTTATAAAAGGGCTTGGAAATCTATAAATAAGTTTTAAGGTATTTTATGAGGCATTCTTCATCAATTCACAAAAGGGGCCAGTGTTGTACAGCAGGCTAAGCTGCCACTCACTGCCAATGCCAGCATCCCATGTTGGTGTGCTGGTTCAAATAGTGGCTGCTCCACTTTCAATCCAGCTCCCTGCGAATGGGCCTGGGAAGGTAGTAGAAGATGGCCCAAGTACTGGGACCCTGTCACCAATGTGGGATACCCAGAGGGAGCTCCTAGCTACTGGCTTCACTTGGCCCAGTCCTGGCTATTGCAGCCTTTGGGGGGTGAATCAGCAGTTGGGAAGATTCCTCTGTCTCTGTCACTGTGCCTTTCAAATAAATGAATCCTTTTTTAGAAAAGTTTATGAAGTGTGTGTTATGAAAAAAATCAAGCATTATCTTTTAATTCTATTTTTCCATGAACTTTCTGAAGTACTACTATATATGCTTAGATCCTACCTGTAGATTACAAAGATTTCCTAAAAAAATTTTGTTTTTTTTACCATATTCTTAAATTCTCCTCACAGGCACTAGGGCTTAGTCAGATTTTCCCTTATTATTACGGGAGAGAACTAGATTCCGGTGTCAATGTCCTGTTAGCATAGCCTTATATTTCCCCTACTGACTGTTTCTTTTGAACCATACTCATGAGAAAAGGGTTTACGGCAATTGGTGATGAAAAGCTATTAAAAAAAAAAAAAACTAACTTATGACATCAACTGTCTAATGATAAAGCTGATTTCTTTCTATGTTATAATAACATGATTTGCTTAGGTCCTATGATGTTTTCTGAGGGAGTTGTCCTATTATCGTAAAAACAACTGTTTCAGACCTAGAAACTCACACAAAACATATGGAAACAGCACCAGTCAGGTGTTCTTCAAAGAGCCGCACTGTGATAGGAACACAGCGTGGGCTAGGCTGACTAGCATCACTGATCCAGAAAGGCGAGCCTAGCCACCTGTGGGACCTCTACTCTAAAGTATGGGTGACTCCAACTATCAGGGTCACAACTGCTGATCCACGTCTCACCACTCCCAAGGATGCAGAAAGGATTCAGCACATGGCATCAATTAAAAAGCTTACCAGGGAAAAAACAAGACGAACATAGGGAACCATGAAGGAGTCCTTGTGCTGGTGTTTGTGTTTATTAGCCGAAGCCACAAGTAGTAACAGTAGCTAATGTGTTCGCATTATCTGCAATAATTTAAAAATGGTATTCCTGGAAGCTAGAAAAGTGCCTTTAGTTCCAAACTGACTTTTGCATCTGAAGAATTTTTTTCTGAAGCTTGAAACTCGTATCTATGCTTTCACAAATAGATTATCTTAAGTCTGAAGTGAATAATAAGTGAGAAAATATACAAAGCACTTATTTAAAAAAACATATGGTCATTGCTGGACAAACTGTAGCTGGCTGGTAGGGAAGACAGAAAGTCCTAGCTGGCTTCACACATCCGACTTGGGACTAACAACTCGGTAAGTTCCAGGCTACCACAAGGCCTACACATAAAAACACATTTTACTGATGGGCACACAAAGACATTATTCTTGCATCACCATACACATAATGACTTTTTTAAACTTTTGTTTAAGTCCCTTTTAGAATTCTCTCCTTGGTCTTTACTCACAAGGGTCACACCTATATTAGATTTGGGGAACATCTGAGACTCCGTTCTAAACCATACTCTTTTATTCTCCTCACAGGCTCAAGCGGTTACTGACATTTTCCCTTTTTGTCAAGGAGCAGGACCAGACGCTCAAGAGCATTCCAAATGTCAATGTCGTGGTAGCACATGTTTTTATTTCCCCTACTGACAGCTTCTTCTGAATTGCACTCTTGGGGAAAGGTGGGTTAGGACAATTGGTGGTGGGAGCTTATTAAACCTTGTATCTTACAACATCAGTGGTCTAGCAGATGTTTCATGGTTGAGTAATGTTGTGAGGCGACCCGGTCATTGGAAATCATTCTGGCTTTCTTCTAAGTGCACAGACCTTGGAATGGACAACTTTGGGAGTGACTGTCCCGAAAGGTCATGTGAACAGCAGAATAAATCAGCTGGTGCTTACTGCCTTGCTAAGACACCCACGAGCACAGAGGAGGAAGATCTTCAGAGCTCTGCCTCTCCAAGAAAGGAGCAGAGAACCCTCCAACCATTCCAACATTTTGCCATATTCGCTTTACTTACCTTCCTCTTGAACTTTTTCCTTTTGGTATAATTTCAGTTTTTTCAGAAAAGTTGCAAGCACAGTATAGAGAATTTCTATATACAATTCATCCAGTCTCTCCTAAGGTTAAAGCAGTACACAACCACGCTACATTTGTCAAAAATAAACTTCCTGCCAACCACTTCTCTTGTGCTATCCAGTTCCTAAATACAACAGGTCCAAATCCAACTCACACACGACCTCTTCTACAAAGTCAGCCGATTGCCCAATCAGATGCCTGCCTGCCTTCCATTTGTTCATTCTGCACATGTGGAAGGTACAGGAATGTGAGTTCACCTTCCAGTTAGCGCCTGGGTTTTAACTCAATCACTGCACTAACAGAACTACATGCCACTTGATAGACATTTATCTCTCTCCTATCTCATTCATCTTTCTTGTGTCCCCAAAAATCTTATTCATCTGTGTAATACCAGAAGCACAAATCAAAAAATATTGCACATAAAAGCTGCTTGGTAAACAACTTTCAATCTGGTGTAAGAAAAAACATGTAGACATCATTTGCAGCAATTCAAATGTTCTTGAAACAAGATACTAATACATAAAATTCTGTTAAAATCTATCCAGCCACTGACACCACACCAGAAATTCAGACGACCTCAATAAATAAACTATATGATCAGATTTATGACCGAAGCAGCAGCAAATGCAAAAGCTTACCTGCTATCAGTCAGAAAAGCAGTTGAACAATCTGACACTCAAAGTTGAATGATCTTATAATAAGTAATCAAGGTGTCAAATGATTGGAGCAGGGACTTACCAGAGGTATAGGAAAATGTGTTGCATACTGCAGGTGACGGAGGAGGTCATAATTAGATGGGAAAATTAATTCCCTCGGTTTTTCCCTCTTCACCAACTTCTCACTGTTAACTGACATTCTTCTGCCCAAGGAAGGGTTGGCATTCTCACAGGACTCTCCAGGCATGGGGGAAAAAATCTAAGTCATGTAAAACAAATGTTAGAGATTGTAAATGAAAGAGGCCAAAACTAAATACAATGTTACATACCAGAACTTAAAACACACAAGACAGCCAGACAATACCTTTTCCTATTTAACCACAAACAATATGAAGAAATTTTGTTAATTTCCACAAAATTCAAATTCAGAACAGTGCACATCTAACAGTTATCACCCTCTATTTTTTAAAATGAGAAAACAAAAAGTCCATGCAACAAAAAAATGTGTCTATATTACCAGAGGACCAGGGATTAAACACAGTCTTATAGGTTAAGAGCTTTACTCAGAGCTAAATTTCCTACAGAAACATATATAATAGTCATTGACTACTAAGACTAACGAATGACAGATGTAAAAGGTTTAATCTGTACCCCATGCAATATGGTTTTTATAAAGAGTTATACACTGAGACCCATGAGACACATTTTAACTACCCTGTGACAAAGCAGAAAAATGAATATCTAATAAGTGCAGAACCATGAAAGCTGGTTTTTAGAAGCTCAAGACATTCACAGCAAATGAGCATGGGCTGTCCTGATGACAGTGCAGTCACACAGCCCTGAGACACGATGACCTCAAAATGAACAAGAGAGTCATAGACAGTCAACCAGGAGGACAAGAGTGTTATAATGTACCAAGGAAGCAATGCAACCCAAACTGAGGATGACCTGAACCGAGACAACCACATGAGATGACAAGGGTCCTGAAGGCAGGCGGGAGCATGGTGGGGTCACATTTACATCACAGTGCAAGACTCATTCTGGGAGATGGGACAAGCAACAGAAGCAGTGAGACAAGTTGGGGTGGGAGTAGGTGGGTTAACTGTCAAGAAGAATCAAAGGTTGAACCTACTGGAAATTCCGAACCAAAGTCAGTTTTAAAGTCACTCTTGTCTACTTCATCAAAAATGTTAGTGGGTCCTGAGTCAATGCCCATATGCGCCATAATACTCTGCTCCTGATAATCACCAGAGAAAGAATGTTACATTGCAGATCGCAGTTAAGACACTGAAGCTGAAACGTGACAGTGAGATTTCTTTTAACCACTCTACATCTTTTTTTCCTCCACTGTCTTTCTCTCCACCCCCAAAATTAAAAGAAGTTTTAAAGCAAGCATTGCTTGGAAGTCACATTCCTTGCCCTCATGAGGGGACAGTTTTAACTTCCATCATGTTTTCAGGGGAAAACACACTAAGATTCTCATTCACATTACCATAATTTCCTTCTCTGAGCTATTCCTACTTATATGCCCAGTTGTTTTCTTAGAAGAAAAAAAATCTAAATTTATACCTAAAATAGAAGATACCTTGAGGGGGAAAAGGACCCCTTGATACTAAATAGAAAAGAAAAAGTAGAAGTCTAGGAAACATATAAATAGGTAGAAGAATTTAAGTTTTAACTAGTTTCTACCGTGAACAAACTATAAAACAAAAATATTTACATTAAAAATAATTTTTTAAATCCTACTCTAATTGGAAAATAAAAATCTTAAGAGTAAAAACTATCAGTCTAACTCCATAATCCTAAAAGGCCAGGTTATCTTAATGGTATATGCCTAAACTCTCTCAGAACCAACATGAGGCCTTATATTTAAGGAACTGTCACAATTTCCCAACACCAGTTGCACCTATTTTACCATGAAAACTTCAGTGAGTACCTAGAAAAGTGTCCAAAGTATCAGCATTTGGCAGAAAATAATAAAGTCATACAGCACAAAATAGTCAGGTAAAAAGAACTACTCTGCCACATTTGAAAAAAGAGAGATTAGATCTTGAATTAGTTGAAGTGAAATATGGGATTTTACAGTGTAACTCAGAACTTCCTGTTGCATATCAAAGAGTGATTAAGTGACAGATGACACATCGGGGGAAAGATGCTCCTTCGCATTAAAAAACCTGGCTGGAACATCAGGGTCAAAACACGTCATTCTGAGGTGCACTGTTAAAGGAAAACTGGAAGGTAAAAAATATAATACCAGAAGCAAACGGGGCGGTCTTCAGAAAGTTCATGGGAAAGGCATACGATGGAAAAACTATAGGTGAATCTCAAAAATTCCTCAAAATGAACTTTATCTTATAATCCACTTGTCCATGAACTTTTTAAAGCCTTTTGTGTAATCCCAATCCTATGAAAAAACTGCATGGCCTAACTCATCTTCTCATTAATCAGTCTTTGAGAACCAACAGGAAACTGGAACTCTCAGTGCGGAGCAGAGAGACCCTGGGTCTGCAGCAAGATCCCCCTCCCATCACCAAACTCTCCATGGATAGGAGATTCCCCAGCAGGGCATCGGCTGCACCTGCAGGGCCATACCTCCATCTTCACATCATGGTCTTTTGAATAGTGTTCATCTGCATTCTCCCCGGCTGGCGACCGTGGCCGGGTGGAGGCCGTGACCGACAGGTCTCCTCGCGATATGAGGGTGCACATGTAGGCGTCATGGGAGAAGACGTCATGGCGGATGAACTCACAGAAGAGCAGCACCAGATTCACAAATTCCACCTTTTCACATTCACTGTTGGGATCCGCTGTGGAGAAATGAATTCAATCAGGAATTCCTTAGCCCAGTGGAAAAATTAGCTCATTAGTAAGGCTGCACAGTATTTTCCCTACTTTTCAGTGGTAATCCTTGCTTTAACAAAACAAAAGATTTACTGAGGCTAATATTAGCGTTTTGCACAGAGCTGAGCTGAGAGGCAGGTTTTGATCGTCCAACTCCAAGTGAAAAACTGTATTCAGTGTGCTGAGCACTGAGCACAGTTCTTGAAAAGAGGAATAACCATTTAAGTGGTAATGTAAACAAAGAAAAATCCAGGTGAAGAAAAAGAAAACAGGGCTATTCTTCTGTTCTCCAGTTTCACTATTAAAGACTTGGTGACTACTTTTATACCTTAAGTGTGTCTGTGCACTTTCGGGTAGATGTGTGCATTTTTGCAAAGGAGACTTTACAATACAACTACAATGTAAATAGCCTGTGAAAACATATATTAAGTGGGATCACCTGAAAATTAAGGGGAGATGGGATACAAAGAACACAGATGGAGCGTGCAGTCTTTTCTGCTATTGCCAATCAATCTACTTCGCGCACGTTATGACCTGAAGATCTGGAACTGTGCTCTACAACGTCCTATCAGTGCCGCTGCAATAAGACACAACATTTTCAGACTCGGCCTGCCACCTCTGGTACCATTCACAAGAACCACAAGGAGACAGATTTCCCCGGGGAATGGGGGAGGGGCAGCTCGGTTCCCTCAGCCTTGAGCCTCCAAGCTTCTTCTCCTCACCATGGCACTCAGAGGCCGGCAGCTTCTACCTGGAGGAGCAAAACACCATCTTCTCACGGACGGCAAGTGCAACACCCAGACCCACGAAGGCACAGAAGGAGAAAGAACAGGAGTGCGGAAGGGAAGCGAGGGGCGAAGCGGCATCTCCCCCAGGGCGGAACAGCAGCTGGAACTGCCGACTTCCAGGCCTGACTCCACAAGTGCTCCTGTCAGTTCTCCTCTGTCCTTCCTGCTTGCTTGTCCACGAAACCACAGCCTGGCTCCAGAGCCGGCTCTCCCTCTCTGAGTAACTCAATCACAGCGCCCTGAACAAAAACATCCCCTGGCCTCATCTAACCCACACCAAGACCTCTCCTCAAAGCACAGAGGCAGTCCCACTTCCTGCTGATTTGCCTCTTTCTTCTCTGCAAAAGCCTCTTCACGTTCTTCCGTCTCCAGGTAGCCTAAGATCCTCTCTGCTATACTTCTTCATGTGCAAATCGCAGTCTGAGGGTAGGCATTTGGAGCAGCAGTTAACAGGCCTGCATCAGCACTGGAGTCCCTGGTGGGAGTCTGGCTGTGCTCATGGTTCCAGCTTCCTGCTGACACACAGCCTGGGAGGCAGCAGGCGATGGCTCAAGTACCTGGACCCTGCCACCCACCCACATGGGAGACCTCGATTAAGTTCTTTGTTCCTAGCTTCAGCCTGGCCCAGCCTCGGCTGTTGTGGGTATTCGGGGAATGAATCAGCAAATGGGAGTTCTTTCTGTCTCTTTCTTTTGTGTTTCAAATAAAAATTAAATACAAATTTTTAAAATTTTTATAGAAAAAAATCTCAGACTACTATCAAGTCTACACAGCTCACTACATAGTTCACTCACACTATGAACCCCTGGGTGGCTGTTTATTCCACATACCTACAACCCAGCATGAACAATAAAATAAAGAACAGAAAGGAAGTGCTTGAGTTGCCAGAAATGTCTAAGAAAGTGCAGCAAGACAGCCAACCATCTTTATTAAATAGTCCTTTATATCAAGGCCTTGGTTATAAATTGGTTCTAGTTGGTTTCCCCATCTTTTAAGAGCAAGAAATAGAAAATCAGAAATTTAGAAAACTACACCAAGAAAATAGTGAGTTACAATATACAAATGAGGGTCACAGGGCCCTAGCTCTTCTATTTCAGTGCAAAAATATCTAAAAAGCAAAAATGAGCACACCAAATATAAGGGAGTGAGGTAACAATTTTTAAATGATTAAAATCTGGAAATTTTAGAGTCTTGGAAGCTTAACTCACTTTAAAATTGCCTGAATGCCTCCAATAAAAAACATGCTTTTAAATTTTGCTCAATAAAACACATATTATCTCTAGTGCCAAGAAGCTTAAGTAACATGCAAATAAGAAGAAAAAAGGGAGGAGGGAGGAATTTGCTCACAAAAAGGTCAATTCCCTTATTTAAGATCTAGAAGCAAAGAGCTTTCTTTACTTACACAATGAAGGAGCCTGTGTATCCAAAAATCTTAACAGAACATTCTGGAAAACAGGCAAACTGGAACCAGCAAGAGAGGCTGAAGAGATAGACTCCTTCTCATCCAAGACTTCTGATTCCCCACATCTCTGCGGATGAAGTCATAGGCATAGTCAGTCACAGCAGAGAAACAGACTCATGAGTCATGAATTTGTTAGCTTTTAATTAGCATTTAAGTTCTTAAACAATACATGTAAAACTGAAGTTTCTGTACCATACTTAAGTAAATGTCATCACCCAAAAACAATTCAAATTATATCAAAGAGCAGCCCTAAAAAATTATTCATGTGAATTAATCTCTAAATAGCACTATATGAGTACACATCAAATATATGACATAGCACAATAAACTATTCACTGCCCTGTATAAAACTGGTACACAATAATTTCAGGTTGTCTTAGTATTTAAATAGCTCATGGTTAACTGTATTTCCCCTGGGAAAGATCTGAATATGTTATTGAATTTGACTTTTTTTGTGTTTGTGTGCTTTTGTCAGGAAGTAGGTATGGGTGTGTTTGGACAAGTACAGTGTCAATGAGAGCTAACATAATCCTCTAATAACATTCTTTCATTTACCACACTTCACCACTAACATCTCTCAGAACCACTGCTAATCTCCAGAATTCATGAAATACGTCTGAAGAAGCTGTTCACTTCTACATTCTTAAAGAAAGAACTTACTAGAAAACTAGAGAAGAAACAGTTTAAAACTCAACTCTAGGCCGGCGCCGCGGCTCACTAGGCTAATCCTCCACCTTGTGGCGCCGGCACACCGGGTTCTAGTCCTGGTCGGGGCGCCAGATTCTATCCCGGTTGCCCCTCTTCCAGGCCAGTCTCTGCTGTGGCCAGGGAGTAAAGTGGAGGATGGTCCAAGTACTTGGGCCCTGCACCCCATGGGAGACCAGGAGAAGCACCTGGCTCCTGCCATCAGATCAGCGCGGCGCACTGGCCGCAGCGTGCCGGCTGCGGCGGCCATTGGAGGGTGAACCAACGGCAAAGGAAGACCTTTCTCTCTGTCTCTCTCTCACTGTCCACTCTGCCTGTCAAAAAATAAAAATTAAAATTAAAAAAAAAACTCAACTCTAATTACTGAAGTTCATTCATTGCAATTCACCATAGAATAGTCTGTCTTTTCATAAAGTACAGAAAAGAGCAATGAAAGGTTTTTTCTAGTTTGCATGTTGTACAAGGAGCCATTTGTTTACAACTTAACATCAGTATCTGCAAACCCCAATTTCAACAATATGGTCTTTTGTTTGCTTCTTCTTTCCCAACAAAGGAGAAGCATGCTCTTCCATTTTCATTCTTTAATGGCTTCAGAGGAAGTAGGTATATTATCAGCAACATAGCCAGCTGAGTGTTCATTAATTCCCATAGCTGGGGCCAGCACTGTGGTGCAGTGGGCTAAGCCTCCGCCTGTGGCACCGGCATCCCATATGGGTGCCAGTTTGATTCCCGGCTGCTCCTCTTCTGATCCAGCTCTCTGCTACAGCCTGGGAAAGCAGTAGAAGATGGCCCAGGCACTTGGGCCCATACACCCACGTAGGAGACCCAGAAGAAGCTCCCGGCTCCTGGCTTCAGATGGGCCTAGCTCTGGCCATTGCGGCTATTTGGGGAGTGAACCAGTGGATGGAAGACCTTTCTCTCTGTCTCCCCCTGTCACTGTCTGTAACTCTACCTCTCAAATAAATAAAATATTTTTTTAAAATTTCCATAGCTAACATTATCTCGGCATCTCCTAAGCACGGCACACTACTCTGGGTGATAGGGACACACACACACTGAACAGGATGGGCAAAGGCCCTGTCCTCAAGCTTATACTGAAAGAGACAGCAGCTATCAAATAATAAGCAAACAGCACTAACACGCACGGCTTGGAGGAAAGTACAACAGTGACGTGAGAAAGAGTGGCTGAGTGGTGAGTGGGTGCCTTCACGTCAGGCCATGTGGTAATGGAAGACCCTCCCGAGGTGACACTGGTTAACCAGGGGAGCTGGACAGGCAGTGCCACTTCCTGAAATGGGAATGACCTCAAAGGAGCTTGCCATGGAGAGACTGCCCAGCAGAACTCGCCACCAGAAGGAACGGGGTGAGCAAAGGCATCCAGCAAGAGTGAGCTCTGTGCTGCTGGGGAGCAGACTACGATGGCTGCAGTTAGACCCAGGGGAGAAGGGAGCAAGCGGAGATGGTAAAGGCAGGCCGGGCCAGCTCAGGTGAGGCTCTGCAGGCCGCGTACGGAGCCAGGAGAGCGCTCTGGGGAGGGCAGCAGGTGAGCTGTGTGCTCTGGGAAAGGTCGCTCTGGCTGCTGGGTAGAGAAAGATGGAGAACACAATGGGAAGCAGAGAAGAGACAGGGGCGCTCCGAGGCTTTCCAGTAAGAGAAGCAGAGGGCCAGGGCCTGGGCCTGGCCAATCGTATGCGGTCCCTGCTAACATCTGGCAGGAAAGATTTCCCACCCACAAAAGCTAATCTCGATGAAGGTAGCTCTCTTTCTTTCTTTATAATCTCAATACTTCAGAAACTCTCTGGAGCCCAAATATAATCTCAAAAATTGACACAAATTGGAATCTATAATCCCACAGCTGCCTCATGAAAATATTTCCAAACTCACTAAAATATCATGCAACTCTAAATTTCCTGTTGGTGTTTGTTATGTAGTTTTGTATGTTTACATGTGTATGTGTTCTGCCTATCTCAGCCTCTTAAAATAAGATTTCTTTGTATTAAATCAGACATTAAGGTCTTCTTGTAAAAGATCTATTTTTAATTAGTCCAGAACACAGATTTTTGGTGGTGATCAGCCTAAAGAGGCCCACAAAAAGAACCTAAGAATAAGCAGTAGGCATCCGCCCAACAGTACTTTGGAATCATGGCATTCATTCGACAGGAAGGAAGCAAGCTGAACCTACCTCGGCCTCGATTTCCGCTTGCCTCTTCTCCAGGAGTTTGGCCACTGCCATGGCCCTGTGCTTGCCCGACCGCTTGCAGCTCACGGCCCACTCACACAACAGCGTCACCACAGCTTCATCGTTGGGGGCAACCTGGTGACCGAGAGAAATGAAGACTGACCACATCAAGCACACAGGAGGGTCAGAAGCAAGGCAGCAGCTACAGCTTGAAAGATGTATCCCCATATTTTATCACAGTGGTTTTACACAGTGCTTCCAAACCTCCTTCACCTCAAGGATAGAGAGTCAAACTTAGTCATAAGGAAGGGAATCACTTCTGCAGAATCTGCGACCATTCTAAGAGAACCAGGGTTTCCTCAAGACTCCCTCACTCGCATGGCATCACGAGCAAGTTCCGTCACTCCTCTGGACGTCAACTTCAAACCCAAACAGAAAGGGGGAATGCCCGCGGGACACCAAGAAAAGCTGTTCCAAAGTCAAAGTACTCCATGGTCAGCATCCACAGGCCCTCACTCACACCTCATCACTCCTGAAATCCCATCAAGCCAGGCTGGAATGCAGATACAGGACCCACCTCACTAGGAACAACAAACATATGACACCCAGGTGTTTTTGTTTGTTTGTTTGTTTGTTTTTTAAAAAAAGCACTGAATAGCAGAAGTAAGAAAAGGATAGTAGCCTGTGTAGGGCTCAGCATAGCCACATCAGCCCTACTTGCCACAGCCAACGAATGGGCACCAGTGACAGAATAACAGAAATTCAGGCGGGGAGAGACAGGAGTTTGTCTGCTGGTCAACACCACGCTTCTGTGCAATCTGTCCTTTCCTTTTAAGCAAAGTCAGCTGCAAGTTTTTAATATTTCCAAGAAAAACTAGATAATCACCGTATTAGCACACACATGCTGTGTGAGAAGTTCTGAATATTCTAAGATCCGTAAGTTCAAATGAGATCCGGATATAGTATGAGCACACTCCCCAGAAGCACACACATACCTATAAACCACACACATAAATTTAGCAAAAATAGCACTCTGAGAAGCCAAGAACACCAGAACACAAATCCCTGATCAACTGTAGATACTAGCAAACAATTCAAATCACGAAGTCAGTTTTTCCCAAGATTCACTCCTTCACTCCTTAATTTAGTCATTTAAACATGTGTTGACTCAAAGAAGTAAGTTGTCTGTGGCAGATAGCTCAAAGGGAACTCTGGGTCTCTTAAATTCAATGCAAAGGAACTTACACAATTAAAATACGTGAAGTTTGCACACAACATTTTAAAAACAAAGCAAACAGAAAGGATTTTCTTCCTGGATGCAATCTAACCCACTGTAAAATACAAAATAGAAAAGTTAATCTTCTGAAGCACCACATGCTAAGGTATAGAATACTAAAAAGAACAAAAAGGTATACTAAAAATACACTCAGTTTTTATTCATCTAACCAGTAATATGCATCATAGACATATTGAGGCATTTTATTCTCCTCTACATCTTCAATATCAGATAAGAATATGCCACGAAAGGATGATCTGAAGTTTTTTCTTCAAACTTCTTTTCCCAGCAGACCCTATGGGATTTAGTACCTAACTGGTAATGGTGTGCATACAGCATTTCAACAGGAACTGGAGGAGCTGGGCGATCAGATTTCCTCAGGTCTACTGAGTGACATACAAAAAGAGAAGTCAAAATAACTCACACTACCACGTCTCCAAAACAGCAGCTAGTGTGCTCACGTCACCTCTTTGGGAAAAGAGAAACACACACACCCACTCCATGCTGAAGACCAACACCGTGAGCACTGCATACAGGCAACATGCACATGGTTCCAAAAAGGCAGGGAGGAGGGGGTGCCAAGTGCAGCAGCTAAGCTGCCACCTGGGACACCCACATCCCACACAGAGAACCTGGGTTCCAGTTCCAAATCTTCTCTCCATTCCTGCTTCCTGGGAGGCAGCAAGGGATGGCCCAAGGACTGAGGTCCCTGCTAGCCACATGGGAAAGCTGGACTGAGTTCTGTACACTTGGCTTCAGCCTGACTCACCCTGCTATTGCAGGAATTTGGGAAGTGAACCAGCAGACACGATATCTGTCTTTCAAATAAATACATTTTATTAAAAAAAAAAGTTTTAAAGGCAAGAAAGAGACAAATCCCACCCACGTGCTTGTAATGTGCATGAAAGAGTGTTAGCAGCCGTAAGAGCATTTCCTTGCTCAACAAGCAGTTGCTCCTTGAGAGATCAGAGCCCAGGGTTAATGCAGGAGAGGATGCGAGAGCTGAGAGGGCTTCTTCACAACAAAGAGAGCAAGGGATGAAGCGTCTCCCAGGGATGCAGCCTTGAAATGGACCTTTGGCTTAGTCACACTGTTAACAGTGCTTTTATTCAGAGGGAGGATTAGAGGAAATATTCACTTTATGCTTTTATAATGCAAAAGAAAGACTTTCTATTTTGAAGGGGGGGAAAGATAACTGGACTTTGGAGGAAAATTACAATAAATTTGATAAACAAAAAATCCATGTGAAGGACACAAAGGACCTTGCTAAATAAAGTGTTGGAGTTCACCCTCCTCCAGGTCCTCTCCACCTGCTGTCCCACAACCACTGAGACAGACGGGGCTCACCTTTCCCTCAAATCTCTCTGTACTCACTCTTAGAAAATGGCAGCGCTGGCCATTCAGGCCAGAAAGCTGGGCGCCATCTCCCTCCCCAGCTACACTCGCCTGCAGGAGAGACCCTCAAACATGACAAGCTCAACCCCCCGGCAGCCCTCAGTGCAGGCTGCTCCTTCCCTCAGCACTGCCTTTACCCCAGGAGTTCCTGCAGAGCACTGAGGTCTCCCTGGCCACCGTGGCAAGGCCATGCTATTTCGTCTGGTCTGCAGTGCATGGTGCCATCTGAAATTATCTTCTTCACTTGTTATCATTTTCCTGTCTGCACGTCCTCACCAGATGATAGGCACTATCAAAATGGGAACTGGTTTCTTCACTGCTGCTGTCTCCTTTGTGCCTAAAACACACGCCCAGCACACGACCTACAGGCACAGGGAACCCGTGAGTGGGAGGACTCCGAGTGGAAGCACCATGATTGCAGTCACTCGAAGTTTCACAGATAAAGAATGTACTGAAGTCGCATCCCTCTGCAGTGCCTTTGATGCAGATCCTAGCTATGACCAGGTCCTGGTCTCCCATGGGCTCCTAGTCTCTCTCCTTTAAAGTTATTTTACTAAAATTAACTCACTAAGCTGAGGTCATGGTGCAGCCAGCCCTACAGGACCCCTGGACCTAAGACTCACAAGGTCACTACTACTCCCTAGGGATAACATCTTGATGTCCGGTCTTCTCTTGAGGTGTTTCTTTCCCAGAACTCTAGGCCCTGAGCACAAAGTAACCACCACTTGCATGTAGCCCTTAGAATAACTGCAGCCCACTCTGCCATCATCAGAATTCCCAAAAGCACATGATATGACCAATCAAAGGAGGGTCCCAAGCACCATGAACCAACCAGGTACCTGGACATGAGCTGAACACACACCTCCCAAGCCCAACTTCAACCAATAAGAACCTTTCCCCCAAATCCTTGGGGAGCCCAGGAATTAAGCAATAGTTCTCTGGCCCCTTACTCTGCTATTTGCAACAAATACCTCTTTTCTTCTACCTACCTAGGGTCAATAATTCGCTTCCTGTGCATCAAGCAAGAGAATTCACTTTTGGGGGTGTTAACACTATAAAGAGTTATTACATACAAAAACAAAAAACAAACAAAAAAAAACGGGCCTGGCATTATGGCACAGGTTAAGCTGTGGCCTATGACACGGGCATCCCATATGAGTGCCAGTTCCAGTCTCAGCTGCTCTGCTTTCAATCCACCTCCTTTGTTAATACTCCTGGGAAGGCAGCAGAAATTGGCCCAAGGATTTCGGCCCCTGCCACCCCTGTGGGAAATCCAGATGGAGTTCTGGGCTCCTGGATTCTGGGTAGCCCAGCCCCAGCCACCACAGCCATCAGATGGAAGAACTCTGTCTTTACATCTCTCTCTCTGCTTTTCAAATAAAGACATATTTTTTAAAATAAATAAACGAACAAACCTTCCTTCCAACTTAGGGCAAACACAGTAGTTGGCTAATCTTACAGCATAAATCCAACAGTAGTCCTAACACAATTTACAAAAGTAAAATAGAAGACCTGACATAACTCCTAAAGCATTTGCACGCATTTTTCAATCCGCTTGTTCTAATCTAAATTATATTTCTGTCCATGAAACAGAAACATTAAGAAACATTTTCTCTCTCCAAATTGATATAACTGACCCTTCTGGTTGTCCTGTCAATCAAAGCAACTTTAACTTATCTCACTTAAAAAATAATTACTTAGCTAAATTAAAATTTTCTTTCTTTCCCTTTTTCATGTCCTTACTCAATTAAGTTATTGTGCAACCACAATGCTGCATGAAATTTGCAAGATTATCCTTTTGAGGCCTGCTGGGTGGTCATTATAACAATGATTTATATAAAAGTACAAATGATGAGCTGAAACTTACAATCTTTCAACTTTTAAATAATGTATGCCACTTCCATATTTTAAACATGCTTGAGAAATAAAATGCCCACCAATGTGTTACTTTTACCATGTTTATACTTAGATATTTATTTGCAAATTTTGAGTGAGAAAATACTGTTCTCATGCAAAAGAAATAAAATAAACATTTAAAAAATATCCATGGTACAATACACTTGCACACAGATTCAGAATCAGAAATAAGCCTAGAATGTTTACAAAACTCAAAATGGCTTTAAGAAACATTGACAGCAAACTGAGAAACAAGAGGATCTTTTTAAGCAACTTATTTATTTTTTTGTCTTGCATATAATTTTTAATTGGTTCATGATGCAATTTATATCACTTTGTTATAAACAAGATTGGAGTTCATTCAAGTCAACTACAAAATTGGGGAAATAAAACAAACTAGAGGACATAAGAGACTGAAAATACAATGAAATAAAGTTAGAGGAAATGAACATGATAAGGAAAGAATGCTAAGGGTGGGGAATGATTTAAATATCACCAACTACCACTTAAATTAGCACTTCCACTGCTACTAGTTCCACTCCGTCCAGGAACTTACCTTTAGACAAGA